GCCCAGGAAAACTGTCGCCTGTTATTTGATTAGTCTGGAATTTGTACACTTATTTAAATATATTAAACTGCACTAAAAATACCCTGAACTCAATCATCAGCTTTTCCTCCTAAATGGTTCAATTTGCAACACCCTGAAATTTTGGCAAGTTATTCATGTCAAACGTGTGATAACAGTATGACAAAAATTTGCAAATTACTTTTTAAAAATCATGTTATTTTATTGTTTAGTCTCTTGTCCCAGATCTTGGAGCTCAGGAGGCCTCTGAATTCAGCATGAAATATCTACTTTTAGAAGTCCCTATTATTCTGTCCATTCATTCAATTGGCTAGGACTAATTGATAATGAAGTCAGTGGGAATCTTCACATTGATTTCAACAGCAGCTGGATCACCTTCTTAATGCTGTGCTTTAAAATATACTGAAGGGTTTCAGGTGAGCATAGCTGTATATTTTTGTTTGAGAGAGGCTACAGTATGGTGGATAAGTTACTAGCTAGGGAGTGAGGACATAGGTTCTTTTTGATGAAATGTCCATCACCTGCTGTGCCATACACCTGCTTTCAGAATTCCTCTCTGTACTGCTCCCTGGTTCTGCTTTTTATCTGTCCTATTTGAATAGTAACCTCTTTAGAAGAGGACAAGGATAGCTTCTCTATATATCTTTATGCAGGACCAGTATAAGGAGGCTTCAATTTTGGGGAACTGTTGAAGTCTTCTTTGCAACTATTTCATCATCCTCATTGTACTATTTTATTATCCTCATTGTAAACTGACTTTCAAAAATGGCAATACCAAAGATCCTCCTTATAGATGCGGTAATAATAAATCCACTTCTCCTTTGCCCTGAGAGCCTAAAGCTTTCAGGGCTTTCAGCATCCCACCTGTATGACATTTCTGGCTCTTCTTGCAAAGAGACAAAGGTTAGGTAAAGACTGAGATCCCAACACTCTCAGCACATACTCCACTGAACACACTTGTGTATTGTAACTTGGAACTTTCCATTGCATTGAAATGGAGTAGGAGCAGGCCCTGAAAAATTTGGTGGCCTTTGTAACAAGTCTCCCAGAGGCCTCACCTTTTAAGATAACATAATACAGGAGTTCATAGAATCATTGGAAAGTAGGACTGGAAGTGACCTCACAAGGTCATCTAGTCCAGATCCCTGCTCAAAGCAGGGTCTTCCCTGACTAAAATCATTCCAGCCAAGTGTCTGTTTAACCTGCTTTTAAAAGTTTCCAAGGAAGGAGATTACACAACTTTTCTAGGTAGCCTATCGCCCTCATCATAGTCAGAAAGTTCCTTTTAATCTCTAACCTAAATATCCCTGCTGCAATGTGAGGCCACTGCTGCTAGCTCTATCCCTTGTAGCCACCGAGAAAAGCCCATCTCCATACTAAAATTGCCCTGTAGGTATTTGAAGACTGTTATCAAATCCCCTCCTCAGGCTTCTGTTCTCCAGATGAAGAAACGCTAGCTCTTTCAGCCTTGTCTCCCAGGTCCCTTATCCTTTTGTTGCTCTGCTCTGGACTCTTCCCAAACTGTCCACATCCTCCTTGAAGCATAGGGCCCAAAACTGGACACAGTGCTCTAGGTGAGGCTTTACCAGTGCTGAACAGAATGGAAGATTCACTTCCCTTGATTTGTAAGTCGTACTCCTGTTAATACAACCTAGTAAACTGTTATCCCACCCCCCACTCTTTTTTTTTTTTTTTTTTTTTTTTGCAACTAGAGCCTTATATTCAGCTTATAGTCCACCATAACCTCCAGGTCTTTCTCTGCAGTACTGCAGCTTAGCCAGGCTTTCCCCACTCTGTATTTGTGCATGCAGTTAGTTATTCTGTCCCAAGTGTAGGACTTAGCACTTGTACTTGTTGAATCTCATCTGATTAAGGACCATTTCTCCAGTTTATCCAGGGCATTCTGAAGCCTAGCTCTACCCTCCCCAAGAGTTTGCAATTCTACCCAATTTGGTGACATCTGCAAATTTGCTAAGCATGTACTCAATCCCATCATTCAAATAATGAATGAAGATAATAAGCAATACCAGACCTGGAAGAGACCCCTGGGGAACCCCGCTTGATACTTCCGCCCAATTAAACATTGAGTCATTGAAGACTACTTGCTGAATATGACAATTCAACAAGTTATTTATCTACCTTACTGTACTTTTGTCTGGTATGTATTTCCTTAGCTTGTTAATAAGAAGTTTATGGGAGACGGCATCAAAAACATTGCTTAAATCAACATATATCAAATTCACTGCTCTCTCCCCATCCCCAGAACCTGTCACCTTATCATAGAAGGCAATCGGGTTGGTCATGGCATGATGTGAATGACTTGCTCTTAGTGAATCCATGCAGGCTGTTACTGACACCTGCTTCTCATTTAGATGCTCCACAATAGATTCCTTGAGGACCTGTTCCAAGATTTTTCTGGGTATCCTGGCTGACTGTCACTGATTTGTAGTTCCCTGGATGCTGCTACACTCTTACGCTCATCCACCAAGCATGAGTTGTTTTCCTTAAAGGCCTAACTTGCTTTTTGATTTTGAAATTGCATTTCAAACCTCAGGGCTCTGCCCTGGATTACTATTGGCAGGCAGGGTGCCCCTGGCATTCCAGTAATGGCATCTGGCACAAGAACCCTAGGGACATGGTCCGGAAGGCTAACCGCACCTTGTCATGCATCCACAGATGCATCACAAGCAGGTCCAAGGAGGTGATCCTCCCCCTCCATGCAACACTGGTCAGGCCACAGTTGAAGTACTGAGTCCAGTTCTGGGCTCTGCATTTCAGGAGGGATGTGGCCAGCATCGAGAGGGTCCAGAGGAGGGCCACTTGCATGGTCAGGGGGCAGCAAGGCAGAGGCTTGGGGACCTGAACCTGTTCAGCCTCCACAAGAGAAGGCTGAGGTGGGTTCTGGTGGCCATCTACAAACTGGCCAAGGGGGATCAGCAGGCTATGGGAGAGTCCCTGTTTCCCTGAGCACTACCAGGAGTAACTAGGAATAACGGCCATAAGTTGACTGAGAGTAGGTTCAGCCTAGACGTCAGGAGGCGCTACTTCACAGTCAGGGAAGCTAGGATCTGGAACCAACTTTCTAGGGAAGTGGTGCTTGCTCCTACCCAGGGGTGTTCAAAAGGAGGCTGGATAATCACCTAGCTGGGGTCGTTTGACCCCAGCATTCTTTCCTACCCATGGCAGGGGGGCGGGGGCGGGGGTATACTTAGGTCCCTTCCGACCCTACCGACTATGAAACTATGAACCAGCAGTCAGTTCAGACATCTGTTTATAATGATGTCTTATTTAAAAAAATAAAATGATTGTAAGAGAAATAAGCAGTTCTCATCTCTGCTTCTGTGGAACTTCTATCCTTTCTCCCTTATTTTTCTCTTCATTTTTCCCTCCCTTATCTTTCTCTCCCACTGCATCTCTTCCTTTTTTTTCTCTTCACATTCCATTGGCTGAGTTACCTGGCTGTTTTCTTCTGACAGTTCAGGTCGCCTTTGGCATCTCTGCTCAGATACTGAACAGTGAACACACATTCATGTACCACACGATAGGAGTTGGAGGCAGCTACCCTGCCAGCTCATCAAATCCACAAAAATGCCTCTAGCTTCAGGGCATGAAGCTGAAGAAAGTAGTGCTTACCACCCAGTAGCTGTACTTTAAAAATCACAATCTCTTTAAAACTAGGTTTATTCTACTGAACATGTCAAAGGGTCTTCTACCAGTATGGGCTCAGGGTAGCAGCTGAGATCAGAAACTCAGCTTTCTGCACCTGGTGAAAAAAATGGTTTACACAGTACTTTTTAAATTGGGTTCACCCTTGTTTTTGTTGGTATAATCAGTTACTTAATGGTTTGCCAACAAACTTGTGTCATCTTGTTAGTTCTCTCATTCCTTCCTGCAAAAATAAAAATATTATTTAAGCTTTGATTATGAATCAGAGCTCACTGTCCAGCTCCCTTCTGTATTTACTAAGTTATTAAGTAAGTAGAAACACACTGAAACCTTACAAGTCCTCTTTTTTAAATGAAACCAGTATATTTCAGGGGGGGGGGGGGGGGAGGGCAGGGTAACTAGGTTATCAAAGTGCATGGCATTTATCTTCTATTTGGTGAGTAGGTCAAAACACCCCTGATCCCCAAGAGCTGCAATATAATAGAGAAAAAGATTGAGTGATTGCTTTTCCAGTTGTCTAAAATGCTAGTTGTCTAAAATGCCATTTCCATGCAAATAAAGGGAAGAGGGAAAATATAGAAACAGTAGTCTGTGTGAAAAGCCATGTGCTAATTAGTTTATTTAGTGGGGGGTTTTTGGTGACCCAAATAGACTGTTAGCACTTTAAGGAAGTGCAAAGCAAAAGCAAAAGCAGTTTGTTTTGTGGGCTGGCTTTTGCTTTGGAAGAAAGCAGAATGAGTCGGCTCCTTTGATATTAATTCTTTAGTCAGTACCTGAGCGGTGCCTGGAAACATTTTTTCCCTTTCCCCCCATGCAACCTTTTTTACTGGGGGCTGCAGCTGAGGAGCGATTCCAGCAACCCTGATTCCTTCCAGGCTCTTCTTTCCCATCTTCTCCTTCCGATTAAAAATATGATTCATTTCCCTCTTATGGAGCTGTGTAACAAGTGAGTCTCCAGGAGGGCTTGGAAAGAGGAGGGCTTGGGCAACCTGGCAAAATGGGACAGGGGTGACCGGGCTTCATTTTCTCTGCACCTTCAGGGTGTGTCCAGACGAGTGCAGTTTCCCCAGGGACAAGTAGCGGCAGCACAAGGTGATGCCGGTGCCATGCACGCTTTGGCGTGTGGCAGGTTACCCCAGGTGGGTAGGGGAGGCTGGGGTCAGCGCCTTTGCTGGCCCCAGCAGCCTTACCTGGGGCCTCTGGGGAGAAAGCCTGGCTGGCACCTGGAGTGGGGCTCCTGCCAGCCAGGCTCCAGTTTTTGGCGCTCCCCACTTTGGCATGGGTTTTTTGACCCCGGGGTCATAAAGAATCCACGGCACTGCACCGTGGCAGCGTGGGAGCGCCTGCCCCGGCGGCACCACATATCTCACGCCTGAGTTTCTCTGGGTGGGTCTAAGCGCATGGGTAAGGGTTGGAGATAAAAGACTCCGCATTTGGCCCCTAGCCCAGTGTCAGCCTGGTGCTCCTGGCTGTAGACACAGAGGCCGAGGCGCTTTGCAGAAGTGCTTTGCGGGGTGGGCACGAGGCCGGGCCGGCGCCCGGGGTCCCGGCCGGCGGCGCTGAGGGCAGGCGGATCTCGGCTCGCCAGCGGCATCCCCCAAACCTGTCGGAGCGCGAGCGGCGGGGGGGGGGCGGGGAGCCTGCCGGCGGCGTTAACCACACCCCGAAGGGACAGTCACCAGGGGGCGCGTGGAGAGACGCGGCAAGTGCCAGGAGCCGCTCTCGGCGCGGAGGGAATAACACGGAGCCGGCAGCGCGCAGGGTGCCGCCGCCGGGTGCGGGAGAGCGGGAGCCGGGAGCTGGGAGCTGCCACATCCCGGCGCCGCCTCGGCCCGCAGCCGGGCTCCCCCGGCACCGCCATGGGCTCCCCGCACACCCCGTCGCTGGCCCACGTCTTCAGAGGGACCTTCGTGCACTCCAGCTGCGCCTCGCCCGCCGACATCCTGCACGGCCGCCTGCTCGGGGTGGACGACACCGGGAAAGTGCGTGCGTGCGGGGCGCGCCGCGGGCGGGCTAGCCTACTGGGGAGATGTGTTATATATATATCTGTATCTATATATATAGAGATATATATATAGTGTATGTATGTATTATAAAATATTGGGGGATTGATAGAACAGTATAGACACATTACCATAATTAAAACGTAATATTATATATATACTGTATCTACCCCCAATATCATATATATGCTATTATATAGCCCCCTAATATTATATACCCCAATACTATATAGTATAATGTATATAGACTCCAATATTATATACCCTCAATATTTATATATATATGTGTGGGAAATCTATCAATCTAGATATAGATATACACATATAGATAGATACATAGGTATCTATATCTATATACATCTATAGATCTATATATATATAGATAGATCTATAGATGTGTGTGTGTATACACACACACACACACATATATATACATACACACACACGTACATTGGAGGTATATAGCATTGGGATACATATATCTATATCTATATATTGATACACACACACACACATTCCCCAATATTATCTATCTATCTATCTATCTATCTATCTATCATATTGGGGGAATATATATATATATAGAAAGAGAGAGAGGCTATATAATATTAGGGGGCTATACATACATATGTACATACATACATATAGATATATAGATACACACACACACACAATACTGGGGTATATAACATACATAATATTAGGGATATATATTATAATATAATATTCGGAGATATATACAGTATATCTAATATATAATATTGAGGTAAATATATATTAGGGAATGTACAATACACATAACATAATTTTGGGGATATATGTAATGTTAGATATATAATGGGGATATACATTATATAATATTGGAGTATTTAATACATATAAATATATAGTGTTGGGGCATAAACAATATATATATCATATTGGAAGTTATATAATATTGGGGGGATAGATATAATGCATAATGCATATATAATTTATATAATGTTGGGAGGGGGACTATCTTCCTAATATTGTAGAAGGATTATATGCACTGAGGGAGGAAGGTGTGTATAATCTTGGGGGGTGTGCATGTGGAGGAAGGGGATATAACGGGCGGGGTGGGGGAGAGGAGAGTATGCGATATGATGGTGCAAGGAGAGATAAGGGTGCATAATGTTGGTCATGTGCTCCCTTGGGGAAGGCTGTACAATATTGGGTGGTGTGGAGGGGGTAGAATATTAGGGTGTGGAGAAGAAAGGGCATGAAGTGTGAGGTGTTCAGGTGTGGGCAGCAGGAGGAATATGGGGGAAGTATGTAACATTAGGGAGAGTGGTGTATATGGTCCTGGGGTATTTAATTATGGGTTCTGTGCATGGGAAGAACATTACGCTATTGGGTTGATGAGTGAAAGGTGGGTATCTGATATTGTTGGGGTGTGCATGTCTGGGAAGAGGCGAATGATCCAGAGGGAACACACAGCAGGGAAGGGTGTAGTATTGAGACGTGAGTGGGAAGGGGCTCGTGTTGCTGGGATGTGGGTGTGGAGAGTGGGAGCATGTAACCAGGGTAGTTTTGGGGATGGGATGTATCATATCAGTGTGTGTGTATGGAGGAAGGGGTAGAGAGTAATGGCATATAGGACACAAAAGGGTATATAATACTGGGGCATTTGTTGTGGGGAAGGATATAATGCTGGTATACATCTTCACGGGAGTTAAGGATACAACCTCTGAATCAGAACTTCCTGGACCTTAAATGCAGGAGGCTGCAAGTGAGAGAGGAAGAGTGGAGAAAAAAATCCTGGTCATACCCAGTTCCCTCTCCCTTTCAGCATCCTCTCTGCCACTGTGTGACACAGAATACTAGACAAGATAGACCTATAGTCTGACCCAGTAAATGGCAGTTCTTATATTCTTATATATATAGAGGGGGTGTATGATGTTGGAGGGAGGGTATGTGATACGTATGGGAGAGAGGACTGGAATGTATAAGACAGGAGGCAGAGTACTGGGATATGTGTTTCTGGAGAGGAGGCATATAATAAGAGTGTGTGTGGGAGGATATACAGGGGTGCTGGGGTATGTATAGGAGGAGTTATAGTATATTGAGTATGAGTGCAAGGGAAGGGTTATTTATAGTGCTGAGGATATGCATGTATGTGAAACCATGTTGGATGCAAGATGTGTTTTTTTTTTTTGCTGTATTGAGATATATATACATGTAACTAAAATAGAATAGTGGGTACCTGTGTAATCTATCACAGGTGGTATTAGTATGTGCAGGTATGTATTTAAGGTGTAGATGCACACAAGCTGAGCTTGTCTGTAGTTTCTGTTTTTATCTTTGTGATGAAAATGAAATTTTAGTGAGAGAAATGAAGCTGAGTAGACTAAAACAGCAGAGATAAATGGTGCAGATGAAGTTTTATCAGATCTCTGCCTTTCTTGCAGCTGCTATGATATATTGATTTCCAGCTATAAGATGTCTCCCAAAGTAGTGACATGATTCTAGTTCTGGGGCTTGAAATTGCCCATTTGATGTCTTGAAGCCATTTTCTATAAAGGATAAAGAATTAAAAAAAAATGTTCCAGACTCAGATTTTCTGCAGATCTTAAGGAGAAAGTTGAACATTTTCAGGGATACAAAGTATGTGCGTGTGCGCGCGCGTGTGTGTGTGTGTGTGTGTGATAGAAACACAGGTGTGTGTGTGTGTGTGTGTGTGTGTATACACACACACACACACACACACACACCACACACACACACACACACACACAGATATATATATATATATATATCTCCAGAAACACATATCCCAGTACTCTGCCTCTTCTTCTATACATTCTAGTGACAGTCCTTTCCCGCATACATATTACATACCATCCCTCCAACATCATACAAGCCTGTCTATACATATAAGAACATAAGAACTACCATTTACTGGGCTGGACTATAGGTCCATCTTGCCCGGTATCCTAAGTTGCACAGTTGCGGAGAGTGGATGCTGAAAGGGAGAGTGAACTGAGTATGACCAGGATTTTTTTCTCCACTGTTCCTCTCTCACTTGTGTGTGTGTGTGTGAGTGTGTGAGAGTATATATATGTATATGTGCATGCGCGTGTATATATATACGCACACACATATATACATATATGTATGTGTGTGTGTGTATACACATGCACACACACATACATATACAAGCACAGACGCACAAATATATATATACCCATTAATGTATACACATTACTTCCTCATATATACACACATATATATTCATATACATATATGTATATATATGCATATATACTTACACACATATTATATATACATAAATACTAATATATATATACACACACATACATATTTATACACATAAACACATATATGTGTGTGTATGTAAGTATGTATAAGGAAGCAATGGGTTCAAGCATATATCATATTGTGTAAAGAGTTAGCTAGATGTAACTGGTAATTTAAAGAATGAACTTCCTAGATTAAGCAATTTGGGCTTGGATAGAAAGTCCACCTCAACACGATTAAGCAACTAGGCATTGAGTGGGCTCTTGTCTAACTTCTGCAGATGATGGATGACTGATTTATTTAATATTTTAAAATGCTTTATTTTCAAATGAGTAAATTTGAACCATAATTTCCCTTTCAATTCTTAAAACTGACATTTCATGCTCAGTAAAAATGAAATATAGAAATAATTATAATATATATTCTGAAAGAATAGTACATTATCCACAATGATGTATAGTCTATCCTAGACATTTGCTTCTGTCAGAGACAAACGTGTAAAAAGAAAATAATGGAATAATTAACTAAAGGACTAAAGGGCTATGAAGATGACAGGCAGTCTATAACTCTGTGATTATTAACGATGTGAGCCTGTTAAAAAAAGAGCACTACTACTAATTGAACAGGATTAGATCTGCTGGGAAGCTATATTAATACCTTAATAGAACTCAGCATAGGCCTCAGTCCAACAGTGAGCTCTGTACAGGTAGATTTCAGTATCTTGTGAAGTCCACTTGATTTTAATGGACATTATTTACAGATATGTTGCAGAAAAAGGACTTTTTTTGCTGAAGGACAATAAATTCACCCAGGCTGCATGAAATTTGGCAGGGGTGAAGAACAGACTTTGAATTTAGTAGCCCTTAAGCCCCTTTTCCCACAATTTTCCCAGTTTTACATGCCTACTCCTGACACTTGCCTTTCCTCCAAATTCACCTAGATTTGACACCTATTTTTCTTCATTTGAGACCTATTATGAGCATTCATTTGTGGCCTATTAAAGGCTTGGTGTAAAACTCATTGAAAGCAATGCAAAGACTCCACTGACTTCCAGACTTAAGAGGTGCCAGTCACCCATGTTAAAATGGTCAAAACTATTTTTTTCTAGTGTTATCATTTTAAGAACTCACATTTCATGGTATAATAAAACTGCAAGTGTGCTCTTTCTGCCACTGGCAAGGATGGATTCTTAACATCCCTTACATGCCCCAATGCTTGAGAATGTATTAGAATACATGCAGTGGACCAGCACTGCTTATGAGTGTGAGTAACAGTATACCTTAAATTATTGTAATTTTCTGAGAAAACATTATTTTTGTAAGTAAGGAGGAACCATATCTATGGCTTCAAAACAAAGGCTGCCTATACACATGCTTGGAAGTGGAGGTGGGAGGCTTATAGCAGTTCTTGGACAGCTACTCTAATTAAAATGGCTCACCATCATGTGTATTAAGCCCTCCTGCATTTCAAAATGGGCACAGGAGTGCTTTAACTAAAGCTTATTCAACAGGCTTTAGTTAAAGTGCCCCCACAGCTAGTTTGAAATGTGGGGCACTTAATACACATGATGCTGAGATGCAGCTGAAGCGTTCTAATTAGAACGTGGAGCAGGCTCAATTATGACTCAAAAGAAAGGTTACTTACCAGTAACTCTTGTTCTTCAAGAGCTGCTTCTCTGTGGTGACACTTGTGGGATTTAG